AATAGATGTGTCTAAAAATCTTATTGTACCCGAAAATCATAGCATTTACCTTAAGCCCCTCTGGAATTCAGAAAGAAATCATCTTCTTTAATCTTTCCAACATCAAACTTTTAACTTTTTGATATTATTTACATTCACAATAAATTGAGGATACAACTGTTTGCAGATGCAAAATTATTTACAAGGTAGAAGATCGAATTGAATATCTTTAAAGAACAAAGATTAATTTTTTATTTTATTTTTTTTTTTTTGTGACCTGTTGTACTATCTGAAGGAAAAAAAACAGAAGTGGGAAAAGGTTAGAGATATTGATGATAATAAATGGTGCAAGATTGTATTATTGCTGTTATTTTTGTTCTTAATAGCAATAGCACCACTTTTAGTGTTGTGATTGTTACTGTTGCTCCCACTGTGGGTAGTTACAGTTCCTGGAGTACTACAAATCTTTCATCAAACATTTATTTGTACCCCACAGCACATTCCAAGTCTCATTTCTTTAGTTCTTTCCAGATTGCACTGAACTGTTTAAAATTACTTCTCAAGACCAATACCGACTATGTATTTTGTTCATCTAAAGATATATTAACTTGGCATTAGATCTGAGGAGGCAAATCTAAGTAGGTAAGTCCATAACAATGAGCGCTTCCTTTTTTTATTTGATTAAAATGCTATTTAGTACTTTTCTTGCCTTGAACAAAGATAAGAAAAATAAATTTCAAATCAAAACTACACCTACATATTTTGATTATTTCCTCCCTTAGTTGCAGTAAATGGTTGAGAACTTCTTAGATTCAGATGATCTATCTCTAAGCATTTTATCTGCACAAGAAAAACAGCCGAATAGTAATGCAGTGACCCTTAAAAATAACTTTTTTATTATTCTTATTTTAAATTAGCATAAAAATTTAAAGATAGAACAGAAATATTTGGAAGATTTAATTTTTTTTTTTTTTTTTTCTCTGTAGGGATAACTTAAATTTTGAGTGGAAGATGAGCATCAGTTTCAGAAGCTGATTTGCATTTAGATGAGTAATACTATCATCACAAGAATGCAGTAGTTGTTCACCACTGACTTTTTCCCAAATCGTCAGCAAATTAAAGTAAATTGGCCTAACTTCTGATGATTTTTTTGAGCTGTAGTCTTAGAGGAGCTAGAAAATATGGTGCTTGTGCTAGGGGTGGTATTAATAGCCTCTTGACTAACAGACTAGGTTGTCTTTACAGTCAGCAGACAGACACATTTTACACTGTACACATCTGAATTGCGATTAGCATTTGCAGGAAATGTATGTTGTTATTTCAAGGACTGCATCTATCTTTTGTAGCTTGAAATTGAATCCGTATAGATTAGAATATACCTAAACAGAGGCTCACGACCAGAAACATTCACGTAACTGAAATCACATTTTTATTCCTTGTAAACTTGAAAATATAGGATAGAAAGACAATTCAACTATAGCCTTTTTGAGACTATTGCCTTAAAGGCACAAGTGATACTGAACAGATCATATGAAGTTCTCAAGTTCTTTTTATGTAGCTTACTTAAACATACGCTTTCTTAAAAAAAGATCTTTTAAGTATTGAAACATGATACAAACCTTTTGGTCAGTGGTTTAAAAGAACTCAGTAAAGACGTGAATACTACCTCAAAATTGTATATCTGTGTAACCTGCACCATGCTTCATGTACTCTCCACTGGGTGTCTGGGACTCAGAATGTCCTGACACTTTGACTGATAGCAGAATTTTGAATGTAGCGCCTGCCTCCTTATTATGCAGAGATCAAACCATAGAGTAAGTACTCCCTCATTCACAAAAGAAACCTTTTCTGGCATAATTTTAAAAGTTAATTTGGAAACTTAATGTGAGAAGATTGTAAGCTAGCCAAACCACTGAGGGGGATCTGCCTGGGACTGTATTTAGATCAACCTCTCAAAGGATAAGACAGTAAAAACAGGAAACACAGCAATTACAAGTTTTAAAAAGTACCTTTATATTTTTTTCCCCATTTCTACTTATATATTTTCTTTGAAACCTATGTTTGCTCTATGCTTAAAAGCCAGGGTATTGCTTAATTATGTGAAAAAGACAGATACACCCATGTTTATAGCTTCCTATTGACACCAGGCAGTGTTTAGTGTAAATAGAAACAAGAAACATACCTTTATCTCAATTAAATGACAATTAAGAAAATTCCTCCAGGTACTTAGGCAGATGTTCTGCAAGACTGTGCTCAATGGAATGTTGACAATCATTGTGGTGGCTGTTAGCTCTTCCAATTAAAATTCCTGGATGCAAATGTTTTGGAGAAATCTTTGACTGAGATAGAGTCTGCATACAAAATCGTATTTTTTTTTATTTTTTTTTTTTTATTTTTTTGTAAGCTTGGAGCTATGGGTTCAAAGACATTTTTAAATAGGCTTGAAGGTATATTTATAAATGATGCTAGCAGCCTTATAGTTCTGAAAGTATTTAGGGCTAACGGTAAATCCTTGGATACTATTGATGATTACTTAGAAAATGTCCCTAGAGAAAACAAATTTCATTTATGACTGGACAGTTTTTTTTTACACAGACCATCAGCTTTTAGAACACCTACTTGTATTAGGTCAGAATCTCTATGATCATTTTTGGGATGAAGACATTATCTGTTGAAAAAGAACAACAAACATTTCTCTCTATGAAATCCAGACAAGGAACAAGTGGCAATACGAGTGCAAGCAAGGCAAAGCACCTTTCCTCCTTACTCTGTTACATTTACCTTTACAGAGGTTAAAGGAAGATTGTGTTTTTTACGTGTACTAAAAGAATCAAACTATATGTATTGCTTAATGAGTCCCACCACATTTTCTTAATTGGTTAGACACACATTTTGTAAATTTTATAAAAGAATTTTCAGACTACTCCGGAATATCTTGCCAGAGGAGGCTTCAAATATGTCCAGAAATAGTTATTTTCTCAGCCTCTTTTTTCTATTAACCTGACCAGTACAGACATTAACAATGTCTGCCGTACTCCTAAGTATGCTGAAAATTTTTGCATTTATCACCATAGTGATAAGGAATCTGGACAACATCTTTTATGTTATTATCAGAGCAACAGTCCAGGAAGTGATAATGCAGTAAGCAGGGGAAAAAAGAAGAAAAAGATGTGGTCCTTCTAGTCTACTATAACAAACATGACAATCAAGAGTAGTCATTCAATTTCATTTCTGCTATTAGATTCTATCTTAGGGCAAAAGGAGTTATATAGAGTAGTACAGCAAATAGTGAAACTGTTGTTTTTTTGGTTTTTTTTTTCCAGTTTTTTTTCTATTATAAGGCTTCCAAATTCCTACTCAAGAACAAATACAAATACAGAAGCACCGCTGGGGCCATACCTGAGCCTCCTGAGAGTCTCCTGAGAACTGAGCATAACCACTCCCTTCATCATCTTTGTGGCTCTGTGCTGGACTCTCTCAAGCAGTTCCCTGTCCTTCTTGAACAGAGAGGCCCAGAACTGGACCCAATACTCCAGATGCGGTCTCATCAGGGCAGAGTAGAGAAGCAGGAGAACCTCTTTTGACCTACTAACCATGCCCCTTCTAGTATGTCCCAGGGTGCCATTGGCCCTCTTGGCCACAAGGGCAGAGTGCTGGCTCATGGTCACGCTGCTGTCCACCAGGACCCGCTGGTCCCTTTCCCCTACGCTGCTCTCCAACAGGTCAGTCCCTAACCTATGCTGGTATGTGGGGTCATTCAGAGCAATTTAAATCCAGGCCACAGGCAGAGCTGTCAGCTGCTGCAGCTGGGCTGGAAATCTGCTCCTGCTGGTGTTCGCCATAGGGAATTAGGCCAAGGGAACAGCACTGGGAGCTCAGTCTCCAAATCCAATGTTTAAAGGGAGCTTTTTTTACACTCATTTTCACACATGCCTATTTGTGTGCCTTCATGCCATTGCAGAGCTCACCTGGCTGCATTTCCACATGCAAATAATTGGTATGCGTGTTTTCGGTGCTTGTGTATGCACGTGCATACATACACACTGACGGGAGGAGAGGCGTTGCATTAAGCTGACTGCATCTACGTTTGAAGCAGATTTGATAATGACCCTAAACATGGACCCAAGTGTTTCTTCTGCTGCTAATTGACCTAATGGATTTCATATTTGTATTTGCGGTATTTGTCACCACAAAATGCCAAGGAATCCTCAAGTTTGATAATGCCCCTCTCCTTACTCACTCAGCTGCAGCCCCTTACACAATACTTTGTCTGTCTGATTTACACAGAATTCCTGACAGGACCAACATACACCCTGTGTGAATACACAGAAACTGTAAATACACAGTTTCACTAAATGTCAGGGATTGGAAGGGAACTTGAAAGATCATCCAGTCCAATCCCTCTGCCTTAGCAGGAACACCTAGATTAGGTCACACACGAATGTGTCCAGGCAGGTTCTGAATGTCTCCAGAGAAGGAGACCCCACAACCTCTCTGGGCAGCCCGTTCCGCTGTTCTGTTACATTCACCATAAAGAAGTTTTTTTTTCTAGTATTAATGTATTCATTTTTGATCAGATGCGGTGGAGTCTCCTTAACATCTCTGACATGTGCCCCCAGTAGACAGCAAAGCTCTCTGGAGAGGTTGTCTGGGCAGCAGATGGGGGCCTCAGTGCCTCCCGGCATGGAGTCCCCAGTCACTAAGACAATGCCGGGCACCGGTGCCCAGCAGCTGCTCCCTGGCAGGGGCTCTCCATCACCCGCTGAGGTCATTCCCTGCGTCAGCATGGAACCGGAACCCCAGAGCTGATTGCATCACACAAACGTGCTGTGTTTGAGGGCCTGCAGGGTTGCCCTGGGGACCTGACCCGGGGCGCGCCATTCATTCTCTGTGAGGTGACACTGCAGTGTGGTGTCACAGTGGCTGCGTCATACACCCTTGTGGAGCGGTGGGAGCGGTGGCTCAGTCCGCTTGTGGGACCCGCAGGAAGTGGAACCAGAGAGAGCTTTGTGTCTATCTGGAGGCATCCTGCTATCATGGAGAGGCTGAGAGCCCTTCGAGGTGAGTCTCTCCACCTCTCTGGACACCATGCTGCTGCCCGAGCACATGTGTGCTTCCAATGTCTGTTTAGGACATTGTGCCAGCAGCACTGTCCTTGCTCTGCCGAGTGCAGCTGCTCACCGTGGTTTCCCCAGTACCCCAGCAAGGGGAAAGCTCCCTCCCCTGTCCCCACCAACCACACGCAGCCTCGTGCTGTGGAGCTGGAGGAGCATTCCTCCCACAGCTGGCCGCATGCTAGGCCCTGGCTCCAAGCAACACCTGCAGCAGCTGCTCTGCTCTTTCCTTCCAGGTCTCTTTGCTTGTGTGGGCTGCATGCCCAGGCGTACGCTTCGCAGGGAGAGAAGCAGGGTGTCAAGCCCTGTCCCTACCTGCGCTGCGACCTTACTGCTTCAGCGCCTGCAAGATCAGGAGGTGAGCTGGGGACATCCAACCAGCAACCCTTGTCCTCCTGGCCCAGGGCCACGGTCCCGTGGGTGCCAGGCCCGGCAGCACATCCACAGAGCGATGGGTGGCAGCGGGCAAAGCGAGCGTGACTGATCCTTGTCCCCAGGGTGACCGAGCGCAGGCGTACGGTGAGCTGGAGAGCGCCCTGTGCCAAGACAGCAGCCGCCCGCCGTGCGGAGTGGTGAACCGGCTGCTGGCAGAGGTGTCCCGGGACCTGACGGCAGCCCAGGTGAGGGCTCACTCCCAAAGGCAAAGGGAACCGCCTGCCCACGCTGCTGTTCTGCTGGCGGATGGTGGTGGCTTAGCTCTTCCAAGGGCCTCAGGCGGTCTCCTGGGCCGCGTGTCACCAGTGACTCTCTTCCAGGGCGTGACCAGCAATGTCAAGACAGCTGCCAGCAATGTCCTGGTGGCTCTGGCTCGGACGCACTTCACCTTGGTGATGGCTGAGCTCCAGAGCCACCTGAAGGCCACGGGGGACATGTCCAAGGAGTTGGTGCTCATCACCCTGAGCAAACTCTTCAGCACCTATGGTAGAGTACCCTCAACCTCCTGACATCTACAACAACCGGGAAAGGGGTCTCTGCCCTCTGAGTGTGATCTGCACTGAGCTGGGGGCTGCAGGGCTGCTGTCCACCTACCTTGCTGCCGGGGCTCTGACTGTGGCCCTCTCCTTCCTCTCTGCAGCTCCACAGTGCATCCCCTTTGTGTGGCTGATGCTGGCAGGCCTGCGCAGTGTGGTGGGCCAGGTGAAGAGTGGCCAGATCCTGCGCATCGCTTGTGCTGGTGAGTGCCGGCCCCAGAGCAGCCATGCCGCAGACTCTCACAGACTCCGTTTTCTCTCACTCTCTTAAAAAAAAAAAAAAAAAAATTATTTTATTTATTATTTTGTTTTTTCAGTTTTGAAACAGTGGCTGGATGGAGTCAAGAATTACTTGTCCTCAGGAATGCAATGCCGCTGGAGTGCCATGGAGAAAGAGCAGATCTATGAAAACCTTCATGAGCTGCTCTTCTCTGTGGTGTGGAACTGGCAAGACTGCCAGGAGGAAAAGGTGAGCACTGCTGCATTGCCAGCCCAGGATGGCAGCAGGGGCACCCATGTTGGCAGCTCTGTCTGTGCCCAGTGGGCTGAGAGCTGAGGGGTGATGAGAGGGAGTGGGCTGGCTCTGCAAAGGGCCCTGAAGTGGCTCTGTGCCAGGGAGCAGCTGCATGTCACAGCACTGTGGCAGGAAGAGCTGGGGATGAGGGTATGGGGAAAAGCTGCCTGCCCTCCAGAGCAAGCCCATCTCCTGTTGGGCGTGGGGGTGTGGGGAAGGGGAAGGGACAGGGAAAGCCCTCTGCGTAGGAAGGGCAGACCTTCAGTCTCTGATGCCGGGCCTCTGCCATCCTCTCCAGGACAAACAGGCCGTCCTTGGGGCTGTGGCTGCCATGTTGGAGGTTCTCCTGCAAGAGGAGCAGAACCAAGAGCAGGTCTGGGAGCAGCTCCTCTGGCTCGTTCACCCGTGTCAGGAGATCCAAGACACCTGCAGGGTGGCCAAGGTGAGTTGTTGTGCAGGGCTCAGGGTAGACGTGGGGCCCGTGCAAATGCCACGAGGGGTCAGGGGGATGCAGGAAGGAGGTGGGGAGCCCTTGGAGAAAGAAGGAATGGGTGTTCAAGGGAGCTCTGAGGCTTCCTGAGCTCTTCAGTCAGAGAAGGAACAAGCCAGACAGGAGCCAGGAGGGAACCAAGAATCACTGGGGCTCATCTCCTGGGGATGGGAAGCTTCACCATCACTGTGGGGCTCTGAGTGCCTGAGGAGCTCTATGCTAACAACTGGGGGGACCACATCCAGTTGCATCTGATGGGGGAGAAGTGGGCTGCTGGGTGGCAAATGCCTGCAAATGATGCCCAAACACGGCTCGATTGAGAGCAGAGAGACTCTCTTGGTGCCGCTGGGAGGTGGGGGATAAACAAGAACGCCTGTGCAGGAGCTTCTCCCTGCAGAGCAACAATTGGGAAACAGTTTCTCCACTCGCAAGTGGCTAGATGTGGCTTCATCCCTTTCTTCCTCTCCTGCTTTCTTGCAGAGCCTCACTATCTTCCTGGAGGCCTTAGGGGGCATTGAGTCTGTAATCCCAGGGGACAAGTTTCTGGACGTCACCAGTGCCGTGTTTTACCAGGTAAGGGGAGCCTATCCTTGCGTCTACAGCAGTTTCCCTCTTGGCTAAGTCTCAGGAGGACTGCAAAGCTCTGACCCCTGAATAAGGCGGCTCAGCCTTAGCTCCTGCATGCTCAAGGCTGTTCCAGAGCCACGCATGTACTCTCGGGGATGCTGTGGGGTGGGCTGGGTTTTGTCTGCCTGTCCTCTTCCCGAGAGTGCCCAGGGACACGAGAGCGGGCAGCACAGTGTCTTTTCCGTCCTCAGTGCTGATGTGATTGTATCAAATGGACCTTGTTCCCACAGCTCTATGACGACAGCAAGCAGCACAGCGAGGCTGATCGTGCACAGCTGACCCACTGCATCATGCTGCAGGGTAAGGAGAGGAGCTTTGGCGATGCTTGGAGCTGCCCTGGCCAAAACCTCTCTCACAAACCTCAGGACTGGGCGTGAGGTTGTTGCTAACATAGCGTGGGATTTCCTCCCTGCAGCCCGGATCTGCCCAGAGGAAACCATCCTGTTTCTGCAGTCGCAGCTGGGCGATGACTGGGAGCCTGGATGCGTGGCAGCCCTGGGTCTGCTGGGTGCTCTGGCTCACTCTGATGGTCAGTACCACGGGTTGCTCAGTACCACACCTTGGGACTTCCAGGGCTCCCTTCTGCCATCTGCGTTGTGGCTCCGCTCATGCTTCTGTGCATCTCTTGCAGAGCCCATGATGACGGAGATGCTGCCCCAGGTCGTCGAGGCTGTGCAGCGTCTGTGCAGCGACCCCAGCATCCGGGTGAGCTGGTTTGGGAAAAGAAAGCGCTGTCGGGGTGGTGATGCTGCTGCCAGCACGGGCAGGGCTGGGGTGACTAGAGAGGTGCTGGGGCATTGACCAGACGGTCATGATGGCTCCTGTGGGGAGAGCAGGCAGAGTGGAGCGGGCAGGTCCCTGTGCTGTGCATGGAAAGTGCACAGCCTGGTGCTAAGGCCTGGCCCTCACCTCAGTAGCTAAAGCCTCTCCACTGCTCTTGGTGTCTCTGCTCATGCCCAAAGGGCTGCCCCGATGTGCAGGTGGCTTCCCTTTGCCTTCTGACCAGGAAAATCACACCCAGAATTGACCCCTTGCAGGTGAGGACGGCTATTCTGTATTTCATCAAGGATCTGCTCAGTTCTAACACCCGGAGCTGCTCAGCCTGGGATGTGGTGGGGCACATCTTCAGGGAGTTCAGCCGCGCCACAGGAAGAAGGGTAAGGGCAGTGGGCAGCATCTCCTTTTGGAAGACCCGTGCTGCTCAGAGGCTGATGTCCTCAAACTTTTTTTATTATTATCATTTCAACTGTTTCTTTTTGAGACCAAGGATACAATCCATTATTTATAACCAAACAAAATAATTTATTTCCCTCTTACCTTGCACATTTCTTTCTTTCTATTATCTTTTATTAAGTATTAACACATATTTAATTTTTTTCTTCTTGTTGATCAGCGTAACACAAATCTTAACTAATTTACTGACTACTGTCTCTGGCTAGTCTTTCTCTGACACTGTATGTTGGTTTTGCTCATGTTTGTGCAATGTACAAATGTCCAAATGAAAAGTTTAATATCTTGCAGGCTGATAGTCTACTCATACTTTTCCAAAACATTACCCGTAATTCTAATGAAGAATTCCATTTAGCCAATGACATTAATATAATCATCTGCCTTAGGCAGTGCTTAACTTTCTTACTGTTTTCATCCAAGATTCTTCCCTTTCTCCTCTCTGTTCTCTTCTTTCTTTCTTCCCTCCTTTCTCTCCTTTGTTCTTCTCTCCTTTTTCTCCTCTTTTCTCCCCTCCTTTCTCCTCTCTCCCCTCCTTTCATCCCTCCTTTCTCGGCTCATTTTTTTTCTTAATCCTCTCAGTTTAGAACATTATAATTGCTGCAATTTATTATATGTATTTATTATGTTTTCTTAGCAGTTGTATAAAATTCAGCATGTTCTCTCTCAGATAAAATTTATTAATTTGGTCTATTAGTCCCTATTTTAACAAAACTGTGCAGATTTTCCAGTAGTGCATTATTCCAAATTCATATCTGTGCCTATTTTAACCTTCCTTTTTAGCCCAAATAAAAAACAAACAAAAACAAAACCAATAGTACTTCAAAAGCCTGTTTCAGTAAACTAACAGGAAAATTTGGGTAAAGTAAGAAAAAGGAATATTTTCATTTTCTAAAGGCTTTCACAAATATCTGGAACAGTTAAGAACAATCACAGTCCGCACAAATAATAATTCTGGAAAAATATCTTCACAGTAAGTATAAATGTACAAGTTAATCAAGAGGGAATGCCTCTATAATCTTTGGTCCAGTATTTATGTGTTTTTGTTGTATTCAAAGTAAAATATAGTCACTTGTATTAATCATTGTGACGTCTATCAGTCACATTGCAGAAAAGGATGAGAGAACTTGATTTTATTGGTTTGTTTTGTTTTTTTTTTCCCTGAAATATGTATTGCTTTTCCTTGTGGAAGATGGAGAGAATTGAGGATTAAAAAAAAAAAAAAAGCAATAGGAAAGTTGGGCAATTACTGTAACTACTGTAGCATGTTATCCTATTACTGCTAAGTATAAAAGTTTCTGAGCTTTTGCTTCCAAAATGTCATGTCAGACAAGACCCGGATTACAGCTAGAATTTTTTAATCTTCTGAGTAGAGAAGTCCAACATTTTTATAATAGGATGTGAGCAGTGATACTCTATTGTCCATGACAATGCTACAGCTTTTCAGCTAAGTTTGGCACTAGCTGTATTTTGTGTCTGACCTTTGAAGTAGTGAGTCATTTAAATTTCTTCTTCAGGAGAAGATTATTAAAAATCTGTTTCTATGAGATTATATTTTTAGACAGCGTTTATATTCCGTTTATATAGAAAGCAATTTGTTGCCTATATTCCTGTCATATTCATTGTTTCACAGGAATTCCAACACTAAATAAGGCTAAATATGACTAGTACTAGAGACAAAAACCTTCAAGGGCATCCCCAGTACTGCAGGATGTAGCAAGGGTTATGTATTCAATCTGAATCATTCACAGTGTGAACTAGGGAATTTCATCACTGGAGACAGGTTTCGCTTGTTGAAAATGGCATAAGGAATAAATGTTGATGACCAAAGATCAATTGGTCATTGTAATAAAACTATTAGACCTAACATATTGCCTAAATTTTAAATTGCATGTTTACATTGTCTTTCGTTCCATGTCCAGTTCTGTAAATTTAAATAAGGTGGGACAAATGTTATCACCATGTACTGAAATATAAACAGGAAAGAAAATGTATTTTGGCAACTAAAAATATCATGACAGAACTTGAGGAGAATAAAGCATATTATTTCTTCCTCTTCCTTTTTAGTGTTTTGCAGGATGAACATGGTAGGTTAAGAAATATATCTTCCAACCCATCAAATTACAAAATTAGTTATGGAAATAAAGTAATAAAAATAATGCAGATTATAAGGTTTATTGCTTACTTGAACTTGCTAAATCTCAGGAGGATTGGTTAAAACATATCTGAATTTGATAATATGTTTTTTAGATTAAAAAAGCTCAGGGATTAAAAAACAAAACGAAGCAAGTCACTTTAAAGATGCACTCTCACTTTCCCTCCTGTTTTTTTACTTTTCTTCTCCTTTCCTTCAAATTTATTCTCTTAAAATTTCTGTAAAATATAAATATTTTGAAGTACAGTCTAAAATCTTGTTATTCAGGACAAAGAGCATTCAGAATAAAACGGATCCCTACAAAAGATGAAAACACCCTAGAACAAACAGAACTTGAGTATGGAGCATCAGAATGTAACAGACTATGCTGCCACCCTAAGGCTCTGCTGAACAACTTGGCAGCATTTATACAGCTCTAATTTAGCAATCCAGGTGGAATGAATATGTACTTTGGTACTCCTTTTCCAATAATCAGCTAGGCTGATGTAATGGCATCAGTAATTTTATTATTATTATTTTTTTAATTGTACATTTTTTAAATGTACCTTATGGGTCTTTTGAAATAATCATTTCAAAAAAAAGATTGAAAACACTTTTGACATTTCTCTTTGACTCTTATCAGATAATGTTTTCACATTAGGGTGCAATCCACCTCAGATTTAATATAGAGTTTTCAAATTAAATAATTTTCTCTTTTTACAATGTGAATTATAGTAGCTGATAGCAACTTGATCTGAACTGGGTGTATCCTTTTGGCAACAATTAGGAATGTATATCTCAGTTCTCTCATTTATACAGAATGATTGATCTGGATCCCACATAGTAACTTGAAAATGGTTCATCTCCTTATTTTTTAATGGGTGTTTTCTTGTCCACAACATATGCATGTCTAATTTGCCTAAGTGTGACATATGGCTTCCCAGAACTCATTTTGTCTGGAAGCTTATGTGGTATAGGAAGATTTGGAAATTCTGCTCTACTCTTTCTTATATTATGTCATTGAGTGATTGTGTGCTGCATTATTTGACAACCTCCTCTATCAGCTCATCAGCATAACCTGCAACATGCATAATAATTACAGTTTCATTTCAGGAAATACATGAGAAAGGGTCAAAAATGTGTCAATCTGTCTAGCTTCTTTTTCCATCACATCTGTTTTACTTAGTAGCTGGACATAGTGAGACTGCCTTATAAAATAATAATGCATTTTTAAAACTGGGGTAATCATTTATGCTGTCACATTGCTTATGCATTGTTATTTTATAAACTGGCTTTTGGAGGATTTCCTTATTAAATGTGATATTTTAATAATATTATATGAAAATTAATATGATCATATTACCATATGCACACTTGACCAATTTCAAAATATGGGAGAAAAATTCTGTGTAAAGTTTAGCATTATTTAATGAGCTACGGTTAGCATTCTTTTCATACATGACTAACGGGTTTTTAAAGTTTGTTTTAGACACTGACTGTGATACAAATGTATCTCTAGACGGCTGTATGGGAGTATAAGCTGCTGTTATCATCTGGTGTATGTAACAGTTGATTCCATAACATGTCTTCAGTAAATTTATTATTTATGAATATTAAGTTAAAATAATTTATTCCTAGTAAAGGGATAACTATATTATTGCTATTTGATAAATGGTCATTAAACTTACATAAAATTTTCCATGTTTTGCAGAATATCTTTTTTGACTTTAGACTACTCTAAGTGTATCATAACCAGACACACATTCACAATCTGTGCACTATATAATTAACATTTGAAAGTTTCATGTTATCCTTACCATTAGTGTAAAATTTATTTGTGATTCAGTTGCCCAATAAATTTATGGAAGGGCTGAAGAAAGTATACATGTGCTGGTTCACTATATTTCTCCCGAAGCTTGCAAATTCGCTTACTTTTCCTTTAAAGCATAAGAGAAAAGACTCACAGAAACAGGAAGAGCTCTCTTGTCTGTAACTCATGTAAACTAGTACAGGCAAACACTCCTCAGAGATTTTCAGAATCTACAGACTGCAGAGAGAGCAACTTCTGAGCATATTTGAAATTAGAGCACTTTAAAACAAAAGTGCATTAAGGAGGAAAAATCTTTTTTCAAAATAAAACTCCCGTAAGAAAAGATGGCATTGCATTTGACTTGTCAAAACCACTTTATAAGAGGTGATCTGCTTTCAGACTGATGAGAAAGCTTATGTCAAGGACGCAGTCCAACTTGGTATTTTTGTCAAAAATTTCAGAGAGAAAAAAAATGGTCTTAAAGAAGAACATATTTTCTGTAATTTTGTTTAAACTGAGCACAAAAATGTTAAATGCTACAGTGAGAAAGGTGATGAAAAACTCTCTATTAAGTTTCGTTTTATATGAGTCAGAAAAACAACCACTGATGAATTGTATTTCTTCATGGGGACAAAAAAAAACAGTCAGTGACAAACGTGACTTCTGTAATGTACAGGGATAGGTACCTGGGATTGGGGCATTAACACTTCAATCCCCCGTACACTACATGATGTTTTGATGTAGAATACTGAAACCCAAAATAAAAACAAACAAAAAAAAACCATAGAACCATGACAGATGTGAAAAACTATGTACTAAGATTTATTCAAATCTATGTAATTTATCTACGTAATTTCTACACTTATTAAAATATAGTTATATAGTTATATGTTATGTCCCAGAAGTGTTAAATGATGCAAGCTGTGAAGATGTATATTTACATACAGCTAAATATTCTGAATCACATTGGTGACTAAATTATAATTTGCTTAGATTTTGTTCAGATAAACAAGCATATGAGAATGAAATGACCTAGTTCCAACCTTCCTGCTATGGGCACAGTTTCCTACTGCTAGATCAAGCACTGGATCAGGTTGTCCAGGCCCCGGCCACATCCATCCCATTCAGTACTGAACACTTCCCCATAAGAGGCATTCACAATCGCTGGCAAGTCTGGTACTTCATCACTGTCTCAGTAAAATGTTTCTCCGGATATCTAATCTAAATCTCCCCTCCTTTAGTTTAAAAATTTTTCCCCTTATCCTATCACTGTTTATCTGTATAAAATGTTGATCTACATCCTGTTTATAATCTTCCATTAAATAGTTGAAGGCAATAATAAGGTTCCTCTGGAGCCTTCTTTTTTCCGTTCTTCAGATGTGTTCCAGCCCTCTGATTATCTTCATGGCCCTCCAATATATAGTTGATTTACTTTTTTGTCTGTGTTTGTAATGTGCTAGTAGATGCTAGTTGTTAGTAAGGACTATGCAATAAACCCAGTAGTAGTTTTCTAATCTTTAAAGTAAGCTTTTAGTTTGATCCTTCCAGAATCTTTTTTATTACAGTAAAATTTGAGGTTGGCATTCTTAATCGGTGATCTAAGCAAAAACCCATTATGCCCAGAGTCAGACTGTTTTATTTCTTTACATCAGCTTTTGGTATCATTTGATCAATCTTACAATGAACAACAATCTGCTTACTATAGAGATGTTTGTTACAGCAAGCAGAAAAAATATTTAGTGGTATGACTTGAAATCAGTAATATTTGTTAATTTTTTTTTCTCATGAAATCTTATTGAACTCCTTCATTTTTCATGAAACCGTATAGAATTCCTTCTTGAGTTACAGGATGAGAGCATATGCAATTTTCATTTTCTTAAGAGAGCAAGGATTTTTGAAATCAGTAATAGTAGAGCTGTAAATTGGACTAATGATAGCAATTGCACTGTATTTTGATTATTGATAATATTTTAATGAGCCTAAGAATAAGTTTTTTACTCATTTAAATGAGGTGTTTGTTGTTGTCTGTAACAGGGTTTTCAGTGTAACAAATAAAGCTGTTATGCGAGGTACATTGAGTCCACAGATCAGAAACATCGTAGATTTATAAACAAACTTCAAAGTCGAGGGTAGTATACTGGCTCTATGTTCTCCATTTTTATGTAATATTTCATTGCACACAAAGAAAATAATAAGTTGTTTAACAACCTTAATCTCAAAAAACATATTTGTGCTGATCCAACCTAACTAAAACAGTCTAAAATTTCCTGTAACACTCAATATCATGTTCACGAGGGTTTTGGATCAAATTCTTCTTGCATCTCCACAAACTCACATTCATTTTGAGATTAACTGTGGAAATCCATAGTAAAATATTCATCTTTATGATAAAAATTCAAAAAACGCTTCAGGACAAGAATTAAGGGAAAACTGGTAGCCAGGAATTTGTCAGCTTTATTCAAGCTTTGATGTATATCTCTAAAAATCCTGTCTTACTCTATATTAAAGTTAATCAGAAAATTAATATGCTGGTTAGTCCTGAGGCTCCAGAACAGGAATAACTAAACAGTGTCTTGCTTTCTCTAGGCACTATTTTTTTTTTTTTTTTTTTTTTTTTTTTTTTTTTTTGAGGGATTCCCTAGCACTTTTTTGTTCTTCTCTTCTCTGAGAGCAGTATTCCAGTATTCTTAAAACTTTGCTTCCGCAAGGCATTAAAAACTATTGCCACACTGGCCAATGTTAAAATCATAAAGGAATCAGACCTCATTCCCTCAGAGCTGCTTCAGATTTAAAGGAATTTTCTTGATTTAAAGGGATTTGTGACTTTCTGTTTAATTCCTCAGAAGAGATTTTGAGAAAGTCCCCCAGAATCTCAGCAAAGATTCAGTCAGTTGTGATCCAACTGCAACCAAAAGGGTAAATTTATTCTGGTTGGACTGTCAGAGTGTTATGGACAATGAGATGTATTATTTTGCTGTTTGTGTGCCACTTCTCATCAAATATTTGAAAGCACTTACAGAACCTCCACAATGTGCTTTCTCCATGATAAAGTTAAAGCCAACCATTGATCCTCTAATTCAATATAGAAATATGAGTGATCTTTTTTTTCTGCAATACCTTTAGTGGGTTGATACCAGATAAGTATATCAAATATCTCACACTGCTCTCTTTCTTTGCGTAGTGCTATGAATAAGTAATTTTATTATGCAGTAATATACTTACAGTGCTTTTATAAGCTCTTCAAAAACATTCTCTAAGTACCTAACATGACTTTGACAGAACGCAGCACTATGGTTTGTTCAAGCTTCTATATCTCTCCAAGTATTTTTTTTGCCTTTTAACACATTTGGCCCTTTAACACATGTTAAAACAGACAAGAATATCCATCTTCTGTGTTCAGTACTGTCCACAATTTTAACGAGAGTCTGCACACATACTGCGCATACAGTATAAGACAGGATTCCACAGAATAATCAGGTGTATGTTTTACAGAGAAACTGAGTTTGTCAATAGATATATAAGAGATTTCCAAAAGCACCTAAGCAGATTAGATACATAACTCCCATTGACTTTTGGATAGTCGTGTACCTTTGGGAGCTGTGAAATTGAAAATATGACAAGACAGATGAT